TAGTGTTACCTCGACATCGTCTTCAACTTTAGCAAGGTGCGCTACAACAGGTTCTGTTGCCTGTTTGGCAAGACGGCGGGGGGCTGGAGTCGTGTCCACCGTCGCCATTGGAAAGACGACGGAGATTTTCTGTCGGACGGAGAGTGCTGTTCCTGTTCCTGCGGATGACTCATTTGCTCTCCGAACTTGTACGAAGGCGTAGCGCCCTCTGCCGTGCTTGCTATTTAGCCCAACGGGGAATGAAGGCGGCGAGAAGATGGGAGGCGAGCTAAGGGGGGTGGGAGGGGTACCGCACTCCTGAGGGGAGCGTGATATGATATCCAGGAACGCCCCGCCTACGGGTGTCATGCATGTGTGTATGTGTATATGATCGCATGTTTTCTTTTTTATTTGCGTTCTGTGTTTACACCAGCTTGCTCTAGCTGTTCAGCCTCCTTCCTTTACGTGTGGCTATCCGTCGGAAGCGGTGACCAACTGGGTCGAGATTCAACTTGCGTGCTGAGAGACCCCACGCGAATAGTTCCTGAACTTCCAAACGTCTGGTGGGCATGCCGCATCCGCCGCCGCTGCCGACTCTGCAGGTGTACAACATTCTGGACGAGTTCATACTGAGCGGGGAGGTGGAGGAGAGCAGCAAGCGAGAGATCCTGGACCGAATTCGAGAGGTCGAAAAGCTGGACTAGCAGCAGCCGAAGATCGATCCCCGGGGCAGCTCTGCGCGGCAGTGTCGTGCCCTTAAAGCGTACATTGAGCGCACCGTACACTCCAAGGCGTCAATATCGTTTTTAATGGAAACAGTCAGTGCGCATGTACTTAAGATGTAGAGATGTTTTGTTTGGAGGCCCAGAGAAAGCAAGAACAGGGCGAAGCCATTTTTTCCCGTAGGGCAAGATCCCCTTTGCCGGACATTTTTTTTTTTCTTGAATAACAGTCCGTGTGTGTGGAAGTGAAGGTGTCAATTTTGAGAGAGCATCGGCCGCCCAAACCGGTTGGCCAATGGAAATACATCATTTTTTTCGGGACCAGCACTCAAAGCACGCGCGTGCGTGTAACCGTAGTGGCTGGATATGTTGACCCAGTCAGTCTTGATCCAAAAAAAAAAAAAAAAAACAGCACGGGCGCGACGAAGAAAGAAGGCTGTCTCTGCAAACGCTTGATTCTAGCCTTTCACTCGCGATTAGAGAGATGAGATGCCGGCAGTTTTCTGATTGGTCAACTTTCTCTAAAAGGAATATACTGAGTGGTTGAGAGTCCCTGGTCGACCGGTGACGTCATCCACCGTCGTGAAGTCGTGAAGTCGCCGTTCGTGCATGACTGATCGAACCCGCTGCCAACAAACAGGCCGGGACACGCAATCCAGAGGACACCACACGCACACCGCGCGTGCGCCACCGGACGCCGTTTCCCAACCGACCCTTTCCGGAATAGACTGTAGACTGATTGTGTGGCATGGCCTTAAATCAGCCGGTATGAGGCATCGGTTATTCTGTGAGTAGGGCGGTACCTCCCCCCCCCCACCCTACAGACCCCCCCACTGATACCTTCCGAAGACGGGCCAACACATTCGAAATGTTGTTTGCCTGGGTCTACAAAAACAATTAACAATATGTAATACAAACTGTTTGCTGGCACCACGAAAAACTTTTCTACCGCAATACCTGTCTTGTGTGCGCAGTCATTCAAGCTGGATACCTCCTTTTGCGTTTGTCTACCTACCTCGATTCGACCACACGACGCAGATAACAATTCCTTCACACGCGGCCTGTGCACTTGCAGAGACACTACCGCCAGAAGATGTTACACCCAATGTACTGATGACTGTAAACAAGACGCCTCTGGAATATACCAAAGCTTGTGCCTTTTGAGACGCTTGTGTAAGAAATGTATTCTCAGGCCTACCCGGTATTTGCTACAAACCGAGGCAGAGTCATCCGTTTCCGTGATGCATCAAAGGTTCGCAATGCTACCATCGTTACAAAATTGTTCTTGGACAAAAGTTCTCGTCGTGTGTGACTTGATCATTGGCGGTTCAACGTCCTCCAAGCACAACCGTAGACAAGACCACACTGGTATGTTTACAGCAGTAAATGCGCTACACAAAAATATTTGTTCTAACAAGACAAGCACTTTGGAAAGCAAGTTTGCCTTATGACACGGCTGTGCAATATACGGAGACACACGCACCACGACATACGCGACCTTGCCCTCTGGCTTAAAAACTTAAATACGCGACGTTTACGCAAGCCTTGGATCAACCGACACCGGCGGCAACCCCAGCATCGTGCCGCAATACAAGACATCCTTTCATGCCTACACCCGTTTCCAACCCCCTCTCTATGAGAGCCAACGGTTAACACCCCAGGGCCGTGGTCGGAAAAGGGTACGCTCCCTTACCTCGTTTCCCCTCTGCGCCTGCGAAGACAACAAGAGAGGTTGCCCAGTGCAGAGGGCTATTGCCTATCCCTAACCGATGCCAGGTTGGCGCTTCCTATCCACCTCTTGGGCGGCCAATGTAGAGAGCATGGACGGCAGCCGCGGGCCGTGAAAAACACACCATGCTTACATCGGTGCGCGGGGGAAACAGGGCCTGCAACATTGCAAGGGGGCCCAGTTTCATCCCCTTCTCGACCCACGCGAGGCACCAACACCAGATAGGCTAGACACCCCCTTCACCCTCCCTCGGCGCCGTGAACAGCCCGAAAATACCCCCCCAACATTTTTCACGTCACTGTACGGCCCACTTGCACCGACCGGGCTACTCTCTCGAAAGAAGGATGGCGTGGTGTGCATGAAGAGAGCACCCATTACTAGGGTGTTGTGGTCCCCTCCCGCCACAAACACAAACACTTCCGCCCGCCGCCGCCAGCCGAATTTTTCGGGCGAGTCGAAACAGCCGCTCCAAAAGCACTCCACGACATGCAACATCAGTCTTTCCCGGCGAACCTGCGTGGACGGAGGCAGAGCGGGGATAGTCCTTAATGTTTTGTGCTCTTGATGTTTGATCATCCCATTGTTGTTGACGTCTGCACATGGACGACAGTGCCGACCCCAAACCATCACGTCCACAATTTCCTTGATGTAGAGGAGTGGTTTTTCGGTGTAATCATCGGCCAACAGAAAACAAGCAAAAACTGCTCAGAAATGTGTTCAGGAAACGTCATGACGGTCAAAAAAAAACAAAACTCGATAATTACATTGTACAGACCATCAGCACACGGAGCAAAGGAAGAGGGAGGAGGGGGGGGGTAGGCATGACGGTACAATCGGCGACGATGTACTTGAGGTGAAAATACAGACGCGACCGCGACGTCTTCCTTGGTAGTGCTGTGGAAAATATCGGAAATTCGCAACAGGTCAGACTACAATAGAGCCGGCTGGGAAGCGAAGCGATTCGAGCGCGTCATTCGCCGGAATTTGTGGAGCGCACGTGGCTTGTCCATTCAGTTGGATCAAAATGTGTGCCTCAATAAAGAAAACCTCCAAACCTTGGGCAGGCGTTGCTGACATCTCATCAGCTCCTCGTCAAAAATCATTTTCAGTCGTCCCGATAGTGCACGTCTCCGTTTCTGCGAGACATCAAGCCTGGCGTGCAAGGTAAGGAAAAGGTGCGAGGACACTGACTACAGGAAGGACACCCTGCCCGCCGACGCCAGCCAGCAGAATCAAAAACCGACTTCTCGCCCCCTTTCGGTTAACCTCGCCTCAACATGGTCGCCGTCACAGTCCTCGACCTCTGCCCGCCGCTCCCGTGACGCTTCCATTCCGCCCGGCACGCCAAGCCTCTCACTCCCGCCTTTGCCGCCGCAGCAGCAGCACCACGACTGTTTTCAGTCCACGCCGGCGCCCGCGTCCCTTTCTGCTTCTGCTGCTTCTCTTGCTTCTCATGCTTCTCTTGCTGCTGCTGCTGCTGCTGCTGCCGCTTGTTGAGAGCGGAAACCCCCATGCCGCCGCCGCTCCTCCTGGGCCAGCGCCAGGACCTCGCCCTCGCACCCGACCCGGGAGCCCGGTACAGCAAGAACGCGATATTCTGCAGGTGCCTCTGCTCCAGTTCCTCCTCGCTCATAGCCTCTTGTTCCCACTCGTTGTCACAATCAACAGCAGCAGCAGTGAAAGGCCGGTCTCCTGGGGTCCGGGCGAGGTAGACACTCTCCAGCGCCCGCCAGCCCATCACGTTGCGCTTCGAGGTGTCCGCGCCCGCCGAAACCAGTGCGCTCAAGGCCCTCGCGTTGCCGTGCGCCGCCGCCGTCATGAGCGGGGTGGACCCGTGACGGTTCTCGGGGTTCAGCGGTGCCCCCGCGCGCACCAAGAGCCGGAGCACGCAGGAGTTGTTCCCCTGCGCGGCCATGTGCAGGGGAGTGGTGCCGTTGGGCTTGACGGAGCCCGCTGGCGCCCCGGCCTTCACGAGAAGCTCGGCAATCTCGTAGTGTCCTGGAAGATGGGGGGGGGTGGAAGACGGTTACAAGCGACCGAGTCAGCCATCGAACGGCACGAGGCCTGCAATAACCTCCCGCTTTGCATACAGCAGCAGCAGCAGCAGCAGCAGCGGCAGCAGAGGCAACTGGTGTCGCGTTCTCGTGTACAAGACAACGACCGGGAGACAAAAGGTTGTGTTTATGTGCTTCGGCCTCAGGCCAACCCAAAGACGAACATGCGCCCTGCTCAAAAAGCACTACATTCTACAGGACGCCTGCCCGCCACGAAAGGTCAGGTCTTCACCCACACAGGCAGGATAATAAATACCATACAAAACAGCCTCCGCTGCGAGATCCGCACCCCCACCGCACGGAGCCCAAGTTTACCGTCGTGCAATGCACCCATCACCCACCAGGAGGCCAAGAATACATGTTCTTGTGGCGCACAAACACACACACGCCGCTTAGCCGCTCTGATTGTTCGCTGGCGAGAGGCCGGGCTTGCTCGGGGTTGGCTCAAACAAATAATACGCTCACAAGAGCAGATACGCACCCACCTCTCTCGGCGGCGCAGTGAAGCGGCGTCGAACCGTCGTATCGGCACGGCGGCGCCGGCCGCGCGCCCGCCTCGAGGAGAAGCCGGGCGGCGGAACAGTTCCCCTCCGCTGCCGCGAGGTGCAGGGGAGTCCTCCCGTTCGGGTTGACGGCCTCGACATCGGCGCCGGCTTCCAGGAGCATGCGCGTTATCGCGGGCGGGGCGTGGGTGCCGAGGTGGAGGCACCGTTCGCCCTCTCCGAGGAACTGCCGCCGAAATTCGGCCCCTTCATCTCGAGGTTGACGTCCGCGCCGGCCTCTATCAGCACCCGGGCGATCTCTTCGTAGCCCGAGCTTACGGCGACCATGAGCGCGGACACGAACGGCCGGTCCGGACTACCGGGCAGAGGGTCGGGCCTGGCGCCACGCCGGAGGAGTAGCATCGCGCTCGGGACAGAGGAGCCCACGGCCGCGTGGACCATGGGTGTTCGGCCGGCGTGATCAGGCTGTTCGGGGTCCTCGCCCGCGTCGAGCAGGGCGTTTAGTTCCCTCAAGCATCCGTTCCGAGCAGCCGTGTGCAGCCTCGGGAGCCCCTGCTGCAGCGGCGTGGCCTGCATCTTAAATCGAGCCCGTCTGATTAGGTCCGAAGGGGGGAGGGGGGGGGGGGAGGGTGATATGTTTCGATATTATGGCGAACAAGCCTGTGCAGAGCCACAGAGGTCATCATGAGGTTGTTTTATAGGTAGTTTCTTTGCTTCCATCGTACTACATTAGCTCCTGGCAGGCTAATGTTACGTCCTGTCGGGTGTCAGTTTTAATGAAGTACTTAGTATGTGGATGCGTAAGCACGCCGGAGTACAGCGAAACAGGACGTACGTGGGCGTGAACGTATCTGACACCACACAGCAGCAATCCGCCGCCGAAAAACGCGCCACCAGGGCCACGGCTAAGTGAACTGTGGCCATGGCAAACGCCGCCGTCTTGCGCTCAACGTCCCGGAGGCCCGTATGCGTAGTATACATGCGTACTTCATGGTAAGATATCCAAACGTGTTCCGCTGTCTGTAGACTGTTGACTCGGTTCTGCAGCAGTAGTCTACTGGTGACGATCCGTTTTGCCAGGAGCTACACGTACAAGTGTCACTATTTAGGGCTGTTACAGGTCGTGGAAAGCGCAAGTCTCTCAGATTTTTCTATCAAAAATATGTACATAAACACACAGAAAGACTTCCAGTTCGAGACATAACCACAGCAGTCGTATACATTTCTTTGAACGACATATGCCGTATCTACATGTTTGATCCAAAACAACAACCGATAACGGCATCAACCCGTTGATCCTCACGGCTACAAGTGTTTTCTTGTGCCGGGCACTACATAGATTCTTGCAGCAACGACTGCACATTTCAGTCTGGCTCGCATCGGTCTAGTTCGCACCAGTCCCACGGCGCACCAGCAGCGGGCAGGATAGGCTAAAATAACAACACTGCTGAATCTGTTCACAAACATTACCTGCTGTGGAGCCGGTTGCAGTCGGAGTCGGTGCTCAGCCAGAGGAGTTGAAGATCTCTGGTGTCACCTGTAGCACACCGTTGGTTGGCACAGCGAGAAAATTACGAGCAGGACCCGATCTAAGCTGATGCAGGTGTCTCTTCGCCCTAGCCGACACACTCGTCTTTGGTGGTTGTGCCCACAAACTCTGCGACTCCTCGAGAGAAGCTGGCTGACAGGTGGATGTGCGGTACAATTTCAAACTGCTCGGGGGTGCTTTCCATTCTGCGGTGCCTCCTATCCCCTATCCCCTATCCCCTATCCCCTATTCAGCCTTCTTGCCCACGTTCCAATCTCCTAAATCAAGGCGTCTCTTTCAAAGACAGGCTTCTATCCGCTTCGAGGGGAGAGCTGAGCAGGAGAGAGAGAGAGAGAGATCGGAGAGCAACTACGTGGGAGAGCGACGCCCCTTGTCCCGACCCGGTATCGTCTGAGAAGCACGAGAAGCCCGCCCCCAAAGAAAGCCGGAGAAAAGAAAGCGCAACAATCTCAATCTCTCCTCTCGTCTTGTGCCCTCTCTCTGTCTCCGAGTTAGTGCGGCAGCCTCCTCAGCCGACGGCGTAGAACTCCACAACCGAGCAATGGGTGAGTGCCTCTCAGCAAAGCCGCGACCATGGCAGTGAAGATGACGTAGGGTTGGCGCCTTTGCTGCGGTGTCTTCTCTCTCGCCCTAAGTATTGTATCCTCTGGCTTGTTGTGCTTAATTATCTGTCGCCCCTTCTGACGGTCGTGCGAGATAGCGTCCACGACCGCATCAAGAAGAACGGGTACGGGGCATCCGTCTGACACGCAGCCAGCGAATCGTTGGGGATGTGCACACCGAGCGCCCTGCCCCCCACCGGCAAGGGTTAACGAAGCCGTGGCACGACGCCCACAGGCGTTATCTTGTCTGCTGCCTGGCAGCCACGCCCTACATTCCGACGTTGTGCGTTGTCCCCAGCAGTGTCGGCGATCTGCTGCCTGGGCTGTAAAGGTTTTCGTTTTTCGCCGGCCCACACTCTGCTGCAGAACACAGCAGCAGCAGTGTTTCCTCAACAATGGCTGTAGACCAGCTGCTGTTAGCATGCACAGGCAGCTGCAGCAGTAGCTGTTGATCCTTTGGGATCGTTTCGCCCGCCAGTAGCTGTTAACCCTTAGGGATCGTTTCGCCCGCGGGCCAGCTTGGTGTTTGTGGACAACGCACACAGCGGTCGCGTTTTTGTTGCCAGCTTACTCCGTTTGTGTTTTTTCGTACTTGTCTCGGGGGAATAAATACTTCAGCATCTCCAGCTGCCACCCCCTCGCGCTGCTGCTGCTGACCGTACTTCAAGTACTCCGTTCGATTTTAAAATGATGCGCGTTTCTGGTCCGGGCGTGGCAACGCAACCTAAACATGCATCGTCCGAGCTTTGATTTATTATTTCATTCAGGCTTTTTCATCCAGGCTTGTTGTTCGCTTGAACCAGGGGGAAGGATAGAAGGAAAAGCCTTCTGAAACATCGTAGCCCCCCCTCCCTCCCAGAACTGCCCGCAAGGTGTGTTCAACGTTGCAGCAGCAGCCCGGCACCAAGAACGGCCCACGGCAGGTTCCCCGTAAACCGCGGAGTTAGCGTTGATAGCACAAGCGGGCGGGCGTGCCGAGATAGCCCTCTTCTCTGCCCAGGAGAGCCTAAGAGAGCCCTCTGCCCGCTGGAAAACCACAGACGATAGCGGTCGATAGAGAAGTGTTGACAAAAGGAGTGGAAGACTTCGTGTACCTACACAGTTACAGCGGGAGCCCCACGTGTGCTTGTTGGATGGTTGTCTAGACTATGGTACAAATATGTTTCCCACGTCCGTCGGATTGCAGCAATCTCATGTGTTGCGTAGAGATTCGTCAGAGAGGGCGGCAGCAACAACAACAGTGACTCGCATTGCTGTTGCAGTACCCAAAGCGGTTGGTAGACACGACAGCAGTGGTTTGGTCGCGGGGCTCGTGAACGACGTCGACAACAAAGGCGCGTGTTGTTTCTGGGCGGGCGGGCGGGCGGGTGGCTCATTTTGTGGGGACCATCTTACATCTCTCGCACCTGCTATGTGCAACGTATGGAGGGCAGGAGCAAATGCAGCATGACATCACGCCACAAGAACGACCATGCCGCAACACGCCTAGAGCGACACATCCCACTCCGGGCGAGACAAAATAGCACTCAATTGTCCAGGGAAGGGTCCCCTTGGATGCTACTGCTTCAGTAGAGGCATTGCGTCCTTACCGCCTGCTGCTGGAAAGATGGTTGGAAAACCCGTTGGCGTTCCTCTTCCCCGCTGCCGTGTGTGTAGAGAAAGGTCGAATGACTTACATCTCCGAACACCTACACCTCGTACGATACCACTCTTGTTCCATACAGCAGTACCGGCCTTTGCAACCCTGTTTGCGGGGCATACACCCCACAAGGAGGCGTTTCCCAGCTGTAGTGCCACTACGCAGTCCATCCAATGTGAACGGCGGGTTCAATTCGTTCAATCTACCACACACACACGCCCCTTTATTTGTTACACCCTTCGTGCCTTTCCCAGAAGCGCCCCTACGAAGCGCTTGACAACTTCTGCCTATGTAACCCAAACTGACCTGCCGTCCTCTCCTTTTGACTCTCTCGCCGTCCCACAAGAGCTTGTCGGCCGAAAAGGACCCGCGTCGCTACTTTTGTGATGACGTTTGTTTGATTTTTCGCTTGCCGTCCCCGCTCCCCTTTCCGCCCGTCGTTCACTATGAGACCAGCGCTGAAACGGATCAACAAGGAACTCCAGGATCTCGGGAAGGACCCCCCCGCGAACTGCTCGGCAGGGCCAGTCACGGATGATCTCTATCATTGGCAGGTGACCTTTGGATCTACATATCTATGATGTTTTGACCGTCGAAGCACGAGCCATACCACCCCGTCTTTTCAACAGCTGGCACTCGCGTTCGATGGTGTCCTTTGTAAGTATACACCCGCAGCAGGGTTACAACTAGCGTTTGCGGCCTGTCAGCTAAGTCTTTTTGTGTGGGCGCTCAGGCGCACGGACGACGGGCTAATGGCGGTGTTGTGACGATTGAGAAGAGAATGGGAAGAGAATGGACTGGCGCCGAAAAGGGGTGCTTCCTTCCGGCCGATCTGTGAACGCAACACGCGAGCCACGAGGGGTACACTGCCGTCCATTGGCTCTGAACAGACCAAGGTTTTTCTTAACTCTTGAAGCGTTATTGAGCAAGAACCGTTCTCAGCGTCTCTTGCCACAATCCCGAGGTCGATGCATCCCGCTTTGTATCCCCGATGACGCCTAAATCTCGTGCTTCGAAGGCATCGGCGGGTGTGCTTCGAAAGTAGGTTTTGGAGGTCATGTTGTGTTTCTTGAGAGTTCCCAACTCGGGGTGGGACCTGCGCACGCGCGTATCGCTCAAGAAAAGCCAGAACTAGTGACCAAATTGCTCGCGCCCCCCCCCCCCCCCCCCCTTCGCGCGCCTAGACGGTGACAATATTTTGCGGCAAAGACAATGTTGCCCGAAACCTCTTTCAAACAGGACTGAAAAGGGCAGACTGCGGCACCTTTTCCTCGTTCCTTGTCCCTCTGTGAAAACGTCGCATGGGGCTGGATGACATCCCCTATCTGATCACCGCACAAGGCACGAGATCAATCTACCCACCTCCGAACATGTGTACTCTGTGGTGTGTGTAAGAGAGGGAAACAGCGATAGAGAGCAGGCTACCATCAGGGGGCCAGTCCTCAGCCCCTGTTCGCACAACAATAAACCGCTCCCACCATGTGTTTGTTTGTTATTTCCACTTACGCGCGTGTATGAGTGCAGGCGACCATCATGGGGCCGGACGACAGCCCCTACGCGGGCGGGGTCTTTTTCCTCAATATCCACTTCCCAGCTGACTACCCGTTTAAGGTGACGCTTGTTTGCTTGGGTAATCGTGATACTTTGGTGGAAGCCTTGGTCGCCCATCGATGGAAGTGTGTTTTGGCGTTACTTTGCTGCGGCTGCTGCTGTTTCTGCGGTTGGTTTCTCTCCCCCCACGTGTGACCGAGTCTTCCGGATGTGTTCGGGGGGGGCTGAGATTCAGACAGATAGAAGAGCGGAAGAGAGACAGACGAACGGACAAGACAGAGAGAGAGAGAGAGAGAGAGAGAGCAGCAGCAGCATGTGAGCGGCTTTGCGGATCCAAAGGTGCTCAAAACGTTCGAGTACGAAAACACCGCTCCCCTCTACCACTAGGCGTGTCTCCGGGTTGCTCTTTGCTGCATTTTTGTCAAATGCAAGCAATTCGGAGCGCTTGACCGATGTGTTGGTGGAGGCTTGCCGGCACCGGTGATCAATGACGGCTGGCATGATCTGTACGGTCAGAGTACCCGTTTGGCTATCTGGTAGTTTCCCATACGATTCATGCCCTGTATCTTCCCCAACCCGAATAAAAAAAATGGCACTGGTGCTCTGCTGCATCGATGACAATGCTGTGCGTACTTGTTCCACTTTCTTTCGGCCTCAACTGCGTGCGCCTCTCCCCGAGTGCCGCCTCTCAACACCAACATGTTTTAGTCTTCTTGTTGTATGTTGTCGTTCGAAACACCGCCGTTCTCATTTCTTCTGTCCCCCCCCCCCCCCCCC